CCAACTGGTAGCATGTGGTATCAAAGTTGAATTGTAGTAAGTGTTATAATTCGATTTAACTTGCAGTAAAAAATATGTAGTAGAAACTGCAGATTTATGTAGTAAGTTTCCTGTAGAAATACGAATTAACATTTTTGTCAATATAACTGACTGGTGATTTTTATGATGTATAAGTTGCAGTACATATTATTAGAAAGAAACTAAATTTAAAATTATTATAAATAATAATATTTATAACAAATTTAATAATAAAATAGACTAATTAAAGTAATTCTAACTCAAACATAAACCATTTTTCGTAACATTAATAAAAATAATAAAATAGATTAAATAAATATGATATTACTTAAACATAAACTAAAATAAAATTGTAACATGAATAAAAACTAACAACGTAGATTTTTAAAGTTTTAAAAATTATACTACAAAATTAAATCAATAATAGGAAAAACTTGTTTGAATCAAATTATATAACCAACTTGATACACCTTTGCTATTTAAGACCTAAATATTTGAATAACTAAAAATGGAATAAGCAAAGAAAYAAAKATAATATAAAAAGTCTCGTGGAAACAAAAATATCAAACCAAATCACTAACTCAACATCTAATTCATCCTATTTTCCATGATTTTGGATTTAACGTTTGAGTTAGCAATTTTACAAAGGACATAATTCAAAATAATAAATCAACTATAACTCATTTTAACTCAAACTCAAATTTTAAAATTTTAATTTGATTCATGATTGATAACATTTTTTAGTTACTAATGAGTTAAACCCTTAACTCAAACTTAATCAATGAAAACTCATATCACCAATCAAAACCTTTATCTTTATTAATGGTATCTCTCTTTTGGATTTTTTGACTCTTGAGGTTAAATTATGCCGCCTTTGATTTCGTTAATTTTTTTAATTTTGCTTCCTGGTAAACTTTTGGATTAAATAGATAAATTTAGACGAGAAAAGAAAAAAAAACTAGATAGATACCTTATTGAAAATTTGGCAAAACCATTTTCTCTTTTTTTTTTTGTGTGTCCAATTTAACCCCAAAACCATTGTCCTGTATACTTTTAAGTTACAAGTTTTATAAGTACAAAAAATTGAAACCTCTTTTATTTTAGGTTCAACATCTACTTTTCAATAATCAAAATCTGAGTTCTACACTAATTTATCAACTAAAACAATAGAGTTTACTCATGTTTGTACCATTGAATATAACTTGAGAACAAAATTCATAAGAAAAAACAGTACTTCATCAGTTACTTCCACAATCAAATGAACCAAGATCATTCATCAAATGCTCTCTAACTTGATGGTCACAAAAATCTAAAAGTTAAAAACTATATATGAAAGTCCTTCATATAGAAATGTAAAGTACAAAAATCTTTGTATTTATATTTTGCAATTTTCTAACTTAAATGATTCAGAAAATAACATGTGTGACTTTTACATTTTGCTTCTTATATGCTACAAAAAAAATGACTGGTATCAACAACGAAAGGCTACGATCGACCCATCGCTCGTGGAAATCGCGATCCTGCAATTCGATTTCGCTGCGATTCGGTGTGAAAACAAACCAAGAACCCGAACCCGACCCGCCAACTCTAGCTTCGATTCTATTTCCACTGTAGTAGACCCGGTTAACCCGGTTCCGAAACCGGATCCCAAACGCTGAAAATCCGCGGCGGAGAATTGAGAAGCAGAGACCGTGAGAGGAAACGACTGTACATTGAAATTAACCGACATGCGTTTTGTTTGACCCGATTCGATTTCACCAGCGGGTATAAACATGAACCCGATCCGATTTCCATAGTAGAAGAGCTGGATTTTATTGTTGTAGTGAGAGAAAGCGGCTCGGTTAGGGTTTCTAACCGCGGATAACTGGGAAAAGGTGAAGCTAACGGAGCTGTTAACGACGGAGAACGAAGGGACTTTGACGTTTGTAACGGAGATCTCGGGATCTCTAGGTCTAAAGACGGTGAGATAGACGGTAAATCCGGCGATGATAAGGAAGACGATGAAAGCGGTTGCGACGGCGCATGAAGCTAGATTTGTTCGACC